TCACCACTTGCTTCACGTTTGAATTTTAAGAGGCGAGAAGAATATTTTAGCGAAGAGCAATTTCTTCCCATGGCTAATGGAGTCAGAGGAGGCTCCTCCAGTGCATGGTAGTTCACCGACACCTCTTTCTAAATACCATGGCAATTCACTTTTGTGTAGTGTAAATACAGGTTCATGTTAATGTTTCAGTCCTGGATTGCTTTTGCCATGACTAGGTAAGAAATGAAGAGTGGAGCTGGAGTGAATTGATCCTTTTCTGCCATAGGTTCACATATTGGTTGAATGTCAGGTTATTTGGGGTGGGTTTTGTACTTGCTATATTTCTGCAATTGGATCCAGGCTGGATCTGCTATTTGAGTGGCCTTTCTTTAGACACAGGTTTGTAAATTGCCGTGTGATTTCCTTCAAGTGTGTCCGTCAGTCCTTACCCCTTCCCCTCCACCGTGTGTTCTCTCAGTTCTTAGGTTCTGGAGACCTAGGCTCGGGAGGACTTGCCAGTTCCTTCAAAAATAATCAACTACTCCCTTCCCTTTAGCTGGTTATAACACCAAGGCTAAATAAGGTCAGATGATCCACACGAGTCCGTGTCCTTTTTCACTTCTCTTTTGTCATTTCCTGATAGCCCAATAATTTTTTATTACCCTGAGCCCATTTCAGCCAAATGCAACAGAAGGATATAGATTGCAAAGATAACAATGTCCTTGAAAGCTTATCAAGGCTGAAGTCACTGAAGGAGCCATATAGGTAGCTGCTGTTAATAAACATAAAGCTTCTCACATACAGATCTGCCTAAAAACTTGAGACCTGTGCAGTAGAAGAGACAATGATGAGCAGAGGAGAAGGAACCCTTTTTCGTAACAGTCCTGTAATGGGAGTAGGAATTGCAGAGGAGTGCTGTGAATAGTGCAGCACATGACTTTGAATCTGCTACAGGTGGTCGTGATCCTGGTATGCATATCTGTTACTTGTGAGGGTGCCGAAGACCTGAAGAAAATGGATTGCCCCTTCATGTTAAGGGTATCTCCAGAGATCTTTGCAGAATGGGAAGGTGCATTTCTGCTCAGGAAGAAATGATTGTGAACTTTGTGAGCAATGACCAAACAACACTTGCTTGAAAACCTTGGGAAAACGGTGCCAGAGGACAAAAAGGATGTCAAATAGAAAATAAAGCAGAAATTCCCCAGTGGAGTTCTCCAGAGTCAGGGGACGTGGCTTGGAATAAGTCAGCACTGGTTTCTCATTTTTCCTACATTTATGCCCAGCATATGAGAAACACATTTTGTGTCTGGAATTGGAACTTGGAAAACTGAGTTAGTTCTGTTTGGGAGTGAGACTTGTGTCTAGTAAATGGCTAGCTGTGTGACTAGTGAATCACTATGGTGTTTGAAATGCTCTTTTATCTTTCCGGGGTGTCTAATGTAAATGTAAGTTTGAATTGGGATTGGTTTGTGTATGTATCATGCCTGGTGCAAATAAGGAGAATTGCATTTGGGTTTTGTTTGTTGTTTTTTCCCTCCCTTGAGTTTAAAACAATCCAAAAATCAGTGGACTATGTAAAAGGGAAACTTAGAGATAACTTGAAGGTGTTTAGTTTCTTGTTTGTTTTTGGTCTGTGGTTACTGGTATGTGCTCTTTCAATAAACAGTTATGCTAAACCAGAATTTTCTTGTTCTCTGGCTGCTGTTTCAAGAGAAGGAGGAGATAGGAAAAGGTCTGGGGAGAAAATGTTGAACTAAACTTTATAGAGCTATCTAAGTAATTAAATCATTGTTCCGAGTGGCTTCTCCCTCTTTTTGATGGGGTATTGGGATGCTTTGGACAGAAGAAAGAGTGCATTTTCCAAAAACTCAACTTTGTTCTCAGTCATTCCAGCACCTTTTCCCCCCAGAAGTGGTCAAACATTAAATATTGCTCATGGCTTTACTGCGGTAGCTCCAGGTAATGGCCCAGATGTGCTTTGGGCTGCCTGAAACGGAGCTCTCGCAGAATTCGCCACTGCTTGTAGCTCTGGTCAGGAAAGTGCAGGCACGTGACTTCTGCTCTTCACAGGGCCGGAGGCTCAGGTTTTGATGATTTGCAGCCTGAAGTCGGTCTGGAAGAGGAAGGCTGTAAGAATAAGAGATGGTCCATATTAGACATGTTAAAAGTAAATGATTTTGAAGTCTTAATTTGGCAGGATTTTCAGGGAAGGCAAAGGGGCAGCTCTGAATATGATTTGCCAGAAAGTTGGTAGTCTCTGAGTTCAGACCCCACATGACTGAAGTAAACCTGCTTGAAGAAATGGGATCCAGTAGATGTTAACAGGGGCAAAACCACAGTCACTTCCCCCTTTTCTTATTTCTTTTCCCTCTCCTCTTCTTGAAAGTGTTCTAGCTCAAAATACATCTCTAAAAAAGGAAGCTGTCCACAGGCAGTTATTTGGTCCGAGGGATGTAAATGCACTGCATGGTTTCCAAAAGATGTTAGCTTTTTAGAAAAAGAAAAACAACAACAAAAACATAACATGTGAAGCATTGGACACCTCTTCACATACGCGTATGATTACCACACGCTCCCAGCAGCAGCTTGCTTGGCTGGTTCGTGTGCTGAATATTGGTCAAATGCTAATACAGACCGCTTGCTTCAGTGGCGGTCTGGGAATCTGTGGCTGAGGTGTTTGTTTTGCTGCTTTTGTTTAAAGACCAAGGGTATGGTACTGCCTCAAACCTTGTGGTTACCGAATTACTTAGCTGAGATCAGTCTGCCTCAAAACTCTTAACACAGAAATTGCTCTTTGAAGTTGTGTGAAGAATTGCAGGGGCTCGAATGTCTTGGCTGAGGGTTTTCCATTGCCGGTGGTGTTAAGCACGGCAGCTAGTTCAGGGTAATTTATCACCTGTTTTTCTACAAAGTAATGTTTCACTTTTTTTTTTCCCCCAAGTGAACCTTGGATACTCTTCAGAAAAAGTGGTAGTTAAATATGTGAAATTCGGTGATACATCCTATTTTACACTTCATAATTCTAACTGAAAACTACTGGTGTAATACAGAAAAACATGTAAGAGGAACTGCAGGAATTTGCTTTTGGAGGACACTAAATCAAGTGAGAGTTACTGTAGCTGTGGTTTAAAACAGTTTATATGCACTCTGCATATAACTTCCTTCTTCTGAAGGAAGATGGCTTTGCTACAGCTGCACTTAGTTTTTAAGCCTGGAAGAGATGATTCCTTCCAAATTAATGCTGAAGCTGTTTGTCCCTACTGAATATACTTTTCTTTTTTTTGTCTATACTCCAGTTGTCTCTGACCTTGTCCTAGCCTTATAAAACTGTGCAGGTTGGCGTATTGATGTGCCATATGGCTACATAAAAAGACTGCCTGTTGCTGTGATCTCCAGATCTGTCACATCTCAAAACCTGGGAGTTGTAAATGCATATTGTAGATTTGGTGTAGGAGTAGGAAACATTTACTCAAAAGGCCCACAAGTTATGGAGCTGGCTTCTTTTCTGGTGTTCTCCCATCAATGGTCTGTGCATGGTATTACTGCGTGTTTGCATTGCACCGTACACACCTTCCTGCAGTTATCAGCATGCTCTTCCCACAGTGACTGGCTTTGCTTTAGAGTGGACTTTCTGGAGAGTTTAGCATCCTATGATGTGGTCCATCATGTCCTGTGCTAATTTGAAAAAGCAAAAGGGAGAAAAAAAAATCTAACCACATGTCTCATTAAATTGGTTTTTTACTTGGGAGTTGCTTTGTTCCAGGCTGGTGATACTACAAGACTTAACTGGTGCTTGCCTTGAGCATTGTGGTGGAAGAATCTGCATCACTCTAGCTGAGGGCAGTGTTCTCTTCTTGCTGTGGAGAGTTGCTGTGCAGTGAAGTACTTGAGATCATAATGAGATTCTGTAATCATTTGTTAAACCCATTTTGATGCTATTGTTAGTATTTCGTGTTATACGAGTAGCTGTGCTGGTACTATGAAATAGATGTAGTTTCTGTCCTGAAGAACTGTATAATGGGTGATGGAGAGAAGTACAGCAAGAGATGCAATTCATATAACTCATGTTCCTTTTGCACCCAATTTTATATAAATTGTGCTGAATAAAGGCAGTGCTAATTATAGCATTTTCTGGTTTGAGTTTGATTTTTGCAGCCTGAAAAATACTTTAATGAAGGTCTTTTATGTTTCTTATTGTCCCAAAGACACTAACTCTCTTGATATCTCTGTATTCCTCTTTTCCTTCTCCAGATGTTTCCTTACTCTTTGTACACCTGTCTTTGCCCAAGTTTGCCTCCAGATCCCAAAGATCTCTGAACTTGCTGCCATGTTCATTATCTCTACCTTGGGTTCTTCACTGTTTGGCTTCTCTGAGCAAGCGAGAGAAGCTTGGTGGTGTACAAAATCTAGACTTTTGCTGCTGTTTAGTGTTTGTGGACTCGGCATGACATATAGCTACAGGTTGGGGGGGGCTGTGACTAGTCCAGCTAGACCTTTGCCACCTGAGGACCTGTTTAGATGTCTGTCTCTTGGGCTTATGCCTGAGGCAGGACATTTACAACAGACTTCCATGCAAAAAGGAGACAGTTGCTCTTACTTTCTGTGAAGTGTGACCCTCTATTTTAGTATTTTTCCTCCAATGCTTCTCAGTTGGTCAAATTCATGTGGGTCTTCAAGGGACGGTTAGGAGTACCTGCCTGCCAAGTTTACAAACTTGTACTCCAAAGCGTTGAGCAACTTAAATTTCTCTTGAGAGGTCATTTGACTCGTTTTAAATTTGAATGTTTCAGTCATTCTGGAAATTGTACAAATTGGAAAAAACTGAGCCCAAGCAAGAGAAGTCTCACAAAAAACTTAAAGCAGTTGAAAGCAGGCCATAGGGAGCTTGGAAGGCACCTAACGTTGGTGCCACCAGCACTGCCTAGAGCACCCTAACCTGACTGCTACGTAAGTCAATTTGTAAATTGCTTTGTAAATTGTGTCCCTCATCTTTGCCCTCTTCTGTCTGTATCTTCTCCCAGCGAAAGCCAAATCCAAATGCGGTGCCACATTCTTCCCCTGCGCTAGCGGCATCCACTGCATCATCGGCCGCTTTCGGTGCAACGGCTTCGAGGACTGTCCCGACGGCAGCGATGAGGAAAACTGCAGTAAGTGCCAGCCTGCTCGTGAGTGAGGGAGCTTCTTTGTCCTTCGACTAATTAATACTACTTAGAAAGGAAGCGTCCGTTAGCTTTAGTTCCTGAGTCAAATATTCTCCCTTGTCATTTACAACCCAGATGATCCTTGTGCTTTTCACTTTGTAAATGACAGTCTCTCTTTGTGGTTTTTTTAAGGTCCAGCTCAGTCTTGTTTTATATGTAATGGCTGTATGATGCTTCAAGCCCCTTTGTAACTTTGAAATGAGATTTAAGCTGCACATTTGCTTTGAACAGGTTCTCTGCGCTCAAGTGTAACTTAAATTGGGCAAATATTAAATATGACTTAAAATTGTTTCATTTTTATTTGCCTGTTTCTTGTCACTGAGGAATATGACTTATTTGTTCACCAGCACATTTGAGTTTCTCTCTTTGTGCCTGTTCTCAAACAACCAAAAAGCAAATAAAGTGTTATTTAGTGAAACAGGTTCTTGGAAGGAGAAGGAGGTTCGCAAAGTCAGACGTTCCTGCCAATGTATTAGCCCGAGCTGTTCAGCAGCTTGCAGGGAAGTCGCAGCAGAGAGATGGTCTGAAGTACTACTTGACTCGGGCTAAACCCCCTGCGTGTGGCTGCATAGATCCATTTGCATCTGTAAGTCTAGCAGGGATATATCGTAGCAGTAGGGAAAGGTTATGTTCGATCCAGCGGCTCTGTTGCTATTATCAGGAGCTGGTAAAAGCATGGGTCAGTAGGTGGAAGCTTGCAGCAAATACTTGTTCATTCTCTTGTTGGAGCAGGCTGAGTTTTTCCTTTTAATGACATTTAAAGGTCAGGAGGAGGACAACAGACACCAGCTTTCAAAGATAACAAAGGGGGCAATCTTTACAGTGATCTATCGCTGTCTGCTTCTTGGAGGACTTGCCTTTCTCTGCGTGCTTTCACCCACAGCACGACTATCTCTTAAGGTGCTGTCTGTTGTTTGCCTGGAGAGTCCGGTTTGGGCCCTGGGAGGACTGTGGCAGGGAGAGAGCACCTCTGTGGAGCAAGCGAAGCCAGAGAAAGGAGATTGAAGGCTAAGGAAATTACTTCGGCTTCTGCTAAAACAAGTGGACTAGAAACAAGTTTTGACGAAAGTGCTTTGAATATCCTTGAGGTGGTGGACTGACAAGTGGCAGGTCTCGACTGAAAACGCACCAGCCCGTGGAGTTGGTTAAGAATGACATAATTTCCCATGAGCTTGTAGTGTGTCGCTCCAACGGGACCTTACAGCTGATGATAACATGCTGCTGATCTCCTCGTTTCTCTTTGCCGTTTAAGCACGCACTTGGTATTTTCTGGCATATCCAAGTGTCTGGTCACTGTTTTGCTTATGTAGAGGAACAACACTGTAGGCCCTAAAGTGACCTGGAAAATCAACATGCTATGCAAGTGTGCAGCAGTTTCAGACCAAAGGAGATCTGGCATGTTCATGATAAAATGTGCTTTCGGGGAGCTGGAGGAATTGGTAGTGTTTGTAATATATACTGCATGTTCTATGCACAGCAGACTTTAAAGTTTTATGTTTTTTTTTAAAGACTCTTTAAAGGCAGCTCTTACTTTAAAGAATAAAAAATAGGAAGGCAGTTAGTATTTGGGAACTGTAATCCCCTTGTTATTGTGGCGGAGAAGCACTTTGAAGCAGACAAGGCATCTGAACAGCTTTTTTAAGGTTTTCAATTGGAAAGTTGCATTCTGTTTCAGTCGACTCATTACCAAAAACTGGCGGGAGTTCAGAGAAGAGTGCCAAAAATGATTAAGGGACAGAGAGATTGATTTATGAGGAGATATTAAAAACTGCTAAATTATGTATATCTCAGCTAAGCAACGACTATGTTGGAAGATAAGGCTATATATGCTGTATATGAAGGGTGCAAACACTGTTCAAGGAGGGATTATGTAGTTACGTATGCTGGGCTATAGCTAAGAGTAGAGGGATGAAATTAGAAAAGAGAAAACTAAAATGAATATCAAGGAAACCTCCTTGGCCATGAAGTACAAGAGAAATGTTCAAAACTGCACTGCTTGAAGCTTTAAATGAAACTAGACATAGCATTTTACAGCATATTTACTGCTGGGTTTCGTGTGGGTGAGAAGACTGCTCTATCTAAATGAGTACTATTCTGTTTTTTGCTCTGTGTGCAATACTGAACCTTATGTGAAAGGACTTTCTGGGTGCTACTGTGATGTGCATATTACCCTTAAAAAGGAGTTGAAATTCAAACACTGAGAAGTTGAGAAATGTCAACGTTGCCCTTGTATCAATTAGAAATAGTGAGGAGAATGGAAAAAAGACAGAAGCAGAGGTAAATAAACCACTGCCTGGCGGTTCTCAGCCAGGGTTGTTGGCTTATAATACAAAACTTGAGCTAAACTGAGTTTGCTGTAATGAGAAGCAACAGGCAGTGTTTATGGCAGGCAGTGCTCCCCTCCATATGTCTTCGGTGGGAGCAAATGCTGAGCACCAAACGGTGATCATGATAGGGGCTCTCATGAAAGTGAACAGAAGGCTTATCACAACAGTGGGTGAACTAAATCTCTGCTAATTGTAATGAATCTTGCATGAATTAGAAATTTCAGCTCTCTGTTTAGAAAGACAAGGTTGGTTTGATTGCCAAGTTACTCCCACATACTCAGCGAATTGACCAACTGTTGAGTTGTGACCCATTGTCGTTGACTATTTAACGGCTATTTCACTGCCTGGGTAAGAGAATTTCTAATGAAAGTTCTCACTTTCTCTTTTCGCAGCAGCAAATCCCTTGCTTTGCTCCACTGCCCGATTCCACTGTAAAAATGGTCTTTGCATTGATAAAAGCTTTGTGTGCGACAGTCAAAATAACTGTCAAGACAACAGTGATGAAGAAAGCTGTGAAAGCCCTCAAGGTAGGCACAGGGGTTTATTCTATTCTGTAATATTATACCAACTCCAATTAATGCAGAACAGGCTCAGTAGAAAATACGATTCTGTTTGCTTGCTCTGTGTTGGCTAGAGCTGTGGTTTCCTAATTCTGCAAATAATGAGAGTGATACGTGTGGAGTGTGCATGTGTGCGTGCATACATTTCATTCTCGGTGCTCAGCAGACTGGTATCTTTTTCAGATTAGTAAAAATGCACTTTTGCAGGAAGTGCTTATAATCTGTGATCCAGCGCTCACTGAAGTTGCTGGGAATCCATTTAGTGACTTCTATGAGAGATGGATTGGACCCAGAGGGATCAATAATAAAACTTCAGTTTTAAGTAGTTCAGTGGTCTGTCTATTTACCAGAAAACTAAATCTGTGTAGGCTTAAAGGTTTAGATCCTCATTGCTCAGTTACTTTCTGAAAGGCATGTTTCACTGCAGGACAAGTCTACAGTGAAAGAATCTATTCCTACCCTTCCTTGTGTCTGTATTTAGAGAAAAGGATGAGGACAGGGAAGAAAATTTTTGTTTGAAAATTGTTGTGTATTGAGTCTTGTGACAATCTCAAAACACAATCTCTGGCAGTTTATTTCTTTTTAATTGATGCTATAAGTCTACACCTAGTGCTCCTCAGTTTTGTTTTCTGTAACTTAATACCATAGTATTTTATAAAATGTGAATTGTACATGAATGACTTGAGGTTAACAGATTATGTGTATTGGGCATCAGCTGCTAAACATTGTAATGTCTGGGTTACTACTGAGAGATCGGAGTAGGCAAAAAATGGGAGATGGTGGATATTTGCAGGGGAGATGTGATCTTCTTGGGCCTATCGGAAGCAGGACGCATGAAGAGAGATAAAGCAGGGTATGAAGGAAGAAGAAATTGGGAAAATTGAAGGAGAATGACTTTAATATCTGGCTGCACTGATGATTTAGTCCGTTGTGGAAGAGAAAATAATTCTGAGCTTAACATGGTGATAAATATTCTTGACCGCTCGCAGGGGAAGAGGGAAAACACGCAACAGCAATGCTAACAAAACGGAGTTTATAGCAACGGTAGGTGACAATCTTCTGTGCCATTCCTCTGCCTAACCGATGAGCTCTTTCCTTTGGCTCCATACGTAAGGGCTGAAGGGGTCATCCAGGTAACTCCCCTGCTGGCTGGGCTCCATCGCAGCCTGGGAACACAGCTCGGATGGGATCGGAGCCTCGGAGAGGGGGTCCGGCCTGCCCCTACCCTCTGTCTGGGGGGGCAGAAAGAGCTGCTGGGGGACGAGCGCCCGGGTACTGCTGCTGCCTCTGCACCGAGGGCTGCGTTGTTTTTCACTGCAGGCCTAAGGCAGCCTAATAGGATTAATGCGGGTGGTAAGGTTTCTTGCTGGTTTTCTTGGGGGTTTTTTGTTGGGGTTTTTTTTTTTTTTCTTTCTGGCTTCTGAAGCTTAAAGCAGCAGTGTTCTTTTCCAAGGTTGAGATGACTGCTTCTTCTGCAGATTAATTGGCTGGATTGCCTCCAGGTTGTTTGTTGTCATGACAATCTGCTTTTGGAAGTGACTGTCAGGCTCAGGAGAAGAAAAGAGCTGTATTTCATGAAGCCGTTAATTTTGTCTTTATCTTTGGTCCTTCTGGAAAAGTCAGATTAGTAAAATGGTTAAGCAAAATAATTCTGTTTGATTCTATGCGTAAAAGCCCCAAACAAGGAGGAAGGAGCTCTCTCTCCTTAGGACCAGAGCAGCGATGGTTTGTGGGCTTTTTTATTAGAAATAAGAGCCCAAGTACAGGGTTGGGAATGAGGAGTTCCCGAAGTGAAATGCTGGCTGCGGGGAGCATGTGTGATTGCCTTTGCCCTTTGCCAGCTCAGAGCCTCCCTGAACTGCCATTTTGCTATCTGTAAGTGGACAATGCTCGTGTACCTGTCTTTCAAAGTGAGGATTAAACAGTATAATGTGCTCAACTGTCCGTCTGAATGTAAATGATGATTCCCTCTGGAGTTTGCAGCTATGGGTATGTCTGTCCTGGCTTCCAAACACACCAACTACTTTGTGTTAATTGAGAATTAGAGGCTACTGTGGACAGTGTTTCATTTCTCACAATTCTTTCTACAGCAGATCTAATTACTGTAATTACAATGAGTTTCATGTTAACACACTACCCAAGAATCCTGGTCATTAGCTAGAACTCAAGTGCTCAGGGTACTTAGGGACCGAACAAAGCAAATCGGTAGGGTATTATAAAATCAAGATAGAGGGTTTTCTTCCCACTAGCTATGTTACCATGTCAAATGTGGTAGCTTTAGTTCAGTGTAATTGAGTGTAGTCTGGCATACGATATTGCCCTTGTGTGCTATTTTTCTATCTAAAAATGTGTTGATTTCAAAATCACTAAGCTTCTGAACCATTGTGTGATAGCGTCATTATCATCATTTAACAGATGGGGAAGAGGGGGCATAGATCGGCTAAACAAAATGCTCCCAGAGTGACATCCCAGCTGGTAGGAGTAGAGCTTCATCCGTGCTTGTCTGCATCAGGACGATGTCGTGAAACTTAATCAATGTTTGCAAACTGTTTTGAGATACTATGATAACATATGGAATAGAAGTGTAAATTATTAATTGGTACTTTGCTCTCCTCCTGCTCTTGGGTATACTGACAAGCTTTTTAAATTAACACCTCTTCCTACTCCTCCACGAACTTCAAAGGCCTCCTTTATCCTGCTGTCATTGCTGGAAAGCTCCAGTAGCGTATCGGTTCGGTTTGTGTCAGATACTCCTCCATGCATAAAGAGCCCTTCAATCCAGAAGGGTCGATCTGCAGGCTAGGAAAACAAGAATGTGACCCCCTACTGAAAAACGTATTAACCCAGCTTTGACATGGAACACTTCATCAAGGACGGTACATTTTGAATAATCGCTTTGCTAGCATGCTGCAATCTGAGATGAGCCTGAAGCCGTGGGTTTATAAAGGTTAATTTTAGTCATAAGTAGGGGTGGATTCACTTGAGGGGAGGGAAACAGAGGCCCGAGGATTTAGTTGTGAAAATGGGAGGAAGGTCAAATTTTTGAGAACAAGTTCCTGCCCTCCTTTCTTCTCGCTGCTTGTAACTGAGTGTTGCACATCTTACAAAGGTTTGCATGTCGTGGGGAAAGTGTCAGTTTAAAAACTTCAACTGTGACAATTTAGCAGCAAGTCAAATAATTCTGCTCTAATTCCCAACAGTAATTATTTGTAGCTCTTGTAGCTGCCATGGTAAACTTCAGAGACGTTCCCTTAATCCCATCCCAGCTATACTTTGGTCATCTCTGGTTTCCAGCATTGAGGCAGTCCGGCCAGACGCTTCCCTTAGTCTGGAATGTGGTGTATTCATCACAGTATGTGCCTGAGTTTGGGGATTGGATAGAGAATGTAGTTCTTGGATTCTCCACAGGAGTCGTTATTCCAGTTTTAACATCACTTGCAGTGATTGGAAATTTCTGCTCCTGTTCCATACTTAATGTATCTTAATCCAGGAAAGTTTCTCTCCCCCATACACTTTTTTTCTCATTAATTTAAGATCTCTCCCTATGCCTTGAATTAGCTGACAGTGCTAATCATTCACAGCAGCTACTCTGGGTGTACTCCTCGGGCCTGCCTGTCGCTGAGGGGGTTCCTGCTCTGTGGCAGGCATCCACTCAATTGGAAGGGAATTCTTCCTCCTTCGTATTTTTCAACAACCATGTAAATTTGTTCAGCTCTAGGACTGTATTTAATTTTTTTCTCTTAATTGCTTTTTATCTAAATGTGTCTTCACAGTGTTTCCTCCTTTACTTTCTCCTCTATTTTGTACTTTTAGTCTAGAACGCTTTAACATCAACAAAAGTGTACTGGATATTTTAATTCAAACTCCTTTTCCTTTCATGGCCCTTCTTTTCTTTCCTTCTAAGTTTGTTAAATACCTTTATTAGCTTTAACCCTGTTGCCTAGGAAAGGGGGTTTTATTGCTGCGAGTCTATATTCACTCTGACTGCTGCTGTAGAGAGAGGCTCTTGGCTTCAGTAATCTTCCTACAATTCTAGCTCTGTAGCTGTTAGCAAACAGTACCACTGTGGTCAAGTTATAAACCAAATGTTTTGCAAGTGTCCTGAAGTTGATTCCTGCCCTATGTTTCTACAGTGTATTTGGTAATGTCCACTGTTACACATGTGGATACCTCCTTTTTTTATTTTTGCATATTTTTTAATTGAATTTGTGTTAGGATTTTCATGTACACCCATATTCTAAAACAGATTTAGAAGCATATACAGTTGTCAGCAGTCTCTGTTCTTCCCTCTGTGGCATGTATAAATTGCTTGTATAAAAATTAGCAGCATATTAAAAAATGAAAAATCTGACCCTGTGTCATACAAGTGGAAAACAGTTCAAAAGGTTGACTTATTAAAATTAATTTTTAAGTGGTAATATAAATTCTGTACTGAATTCTGTGGATTTAGGTATAGGTGAGACAAAGTTGGAAGGGTACTGGCTGAAATGGTAAAACGCTATGGCCCATTGCTGGTGTTTGCATGATTGAGTTGCAATGCAAAGTGGATTTTAGAACTGACAGCCAAGTGGAACAGACATACTCTAAATTTCAATGGAATACCACAAAACCTGATTTATGAAAGACAAATAGCTCCCAGAACATCCCACTCCGTATGGAGCTTGTAACCAGCCCTTTGCACATGACAAACTGAAATTCTGAAATTCCCAAATGCTGTGGTGTCACTTAAACATCCCAAAGCTTTATAGGCTGATCCTGGCTGAATACATTTCCTTTTATTGAGTCTTTCTTTGACTCATTATTGACTCAGTCTGTAAACTGAAGCTCAACTTGCAATTATTGTGCATCAGCTCAGCCCATATTCAGCCTACAGCAGGAATTTTATACTCAGAGGCAGACTAAATAGAAGCAGAAACTTAAGGAAGGTTACAAATAAAATGTCGCTGAATGTTTTATTGAATGAAGGC